ACTTCTAAACAGTGCATGGTAAAAATTTAAAAATAGCACAGGTTGTACAACTTTTTCTTTGCTATAAAATAGCAGCAATTAAAAAAATATTAAAATTTCATCCAAAAGTACCTTAATGAAAAATCCGAACTTCAATCAAACATTTATATTGCAAACTGATGCATCAGGAGTAGGAGTTGGTGCAATTCTTAGTCAAGGAGAGGAGAATTTGGATGAGGGACCAGTTGCTTATTTTAGTAAAAAGCTACTCCCGAGAGAACAAGCATACTCGACAGTCGAAAAAGAGTGCTTAGCTATTATTCTAGCCATTAAGCACTTCAGTGCATATCTCATAGGGAGATCTTTTATTATTCAAACGGATCATAGAGCTCTTCAATGGCTACACAAGTTTAAAGAGAAGAATGCAAGATTGACTAGATGGAGTTTGATTCTGCAACCATATAATTTCACTATACAACATCGGAAAGGGGTAGCAAATGCAAATGCAGATGCACTTTCTAGATTGGAGAGGAAGAGCACTTCGTGCCAGAGGGGAAGGGAGGAAATGTAAGAAGTTGTTTCTAAATGGATCCGGAACTCTCTGTGTACTATTGTAATTATATATTATGTGTTTATTCAAGTATATTCTAGAACAATCATGTAAAGTATTCTTGTATGTTATAGAACCTTCTGGACATTTATAATATCTATATAAGTGTGTTGTTTTAGTTGTGTTAGTTGTGAGTTAGTTTTGTTTTGTTAGTTGGTTTTTGAGCTCAGTTGAGTCTCGTGCTGATTAAGAATAAAGTTTGGTTAACAGATAGTTGGAGCGTCTGTTACAGCAATGCTGCATGCATATACACAGATCTGTAAGCATATAACATAAGCATAACTGCAAGCATACACAGAGATCAGAATGACAGCTACATGTATAATTAGGTATCAAATGAAGATTACACATAAAGTGCTAGAGATGGAGATGTAGCAAAATTACATGCACTAAAGAACAAATAGGATAAGGTAGTGAAGAGTGACTGGCATTTGATATACAAACTATGCCCTCCCCTTACTACACAATGTACACTACTAGCAGTATGATATAGTGCTTCATCTGACCAGTAATAGGTGACCTTTTGAACAATAATATATGATCTTTTATGAATAATATACTGCAAGAAAATAAAGTTAAAAGTATATGTAATACAGAAGGTGTTCTGGTATCTAAAATATCTTAAAAAGTGAAGATGGATGCATGTGTGCGTTATACTATGTGATAAGTGATAAGAATAACCCCAGCCTCTGGTCATACACTAAGATCTACTTCCTGTACTGACCCTTCAGCTATATACTACTATACCACACACACATCCTTTATACTGCACTGGTACACACACATAGTTGACCATATTTGGGCATAATAACTGAAATGCCAATAATAACAGTATAAACAGTCACTGTCATGTGATGATGAGCGTTACATACAATTAGAGGAACTACTTGTCTTGTAAAGTAACTTCAACAATAGTTACAAGATGATTGATGTCTCTCAATGGAGAGCAAGTATTGGACTGTGGAACTACTGTCAAGCTGCCTCCAGTAGATCTCCAGCTAATGGCTGCCACTCTCACTCATTCAAAGCTGCAGTAGACACCAAGTCAGGCAGTACTGCATCAGGAGAGAAGACATCTAAACTGCCAGCAGCTCTGTCTCTTATTGCTTTACTTCTCCTCCTCTTAAAGCACTGTCTCTCTTTATTAAGACACATCTTGATGATTCCTCCAACAGGTAAACAACAATTGGAACTTTGTACTTGTATATTTACTGGTATTTTATTATTAGGTAACTGCTACCAAGTACAATGTACTACTGGTGTTACAGTTACTGATACGAATTACCTCCAGTCAGTAGTCTTACCTGGAGGCAGCAGTTCTAACCTGATTTACAATGATCTCTATTTGATTGTTTGTCTACGTATGCTCCTCCTCTTATCAGGAGATGTTGAACTCAATCCTGGTCCTATGATTGATGACCGACCTGATATTTCATTATTACTTAAATGGCTTGAACCACTTGATGATTGGCAAAATTTTGGCTACTGCTTACCAGGAATTGCTTTTTCGGATATTTCAAAAATTGCAGCAGAACATTTAAAAACTGCTGAAAGAAAGTTAGCATTGTACTCCAAATGGCTGAGCATAGCACCTACAGCAACATGGGCTGATGTAATTAATGCACTGAGCAAAAGAAGAGAGAACAAACTTGTACAAGACATTAAAAGAAACTTACAGAAAAGTGTACCAAGGTCAGCTAGAAGTTATGCTGCTGTTACAACCCGACCACCATCACGTGTAGAAGTAATGTTTGAAACAGCTGAAGATGAAAAAGAGATATTGCATGCACTAATTGAGCTCAATAGAGAATTCTCTAGTTTAATGATGCATATACGCTCAGGCCTTAAGATGAAAATTGAAAATGATCCAAAGCAGTTAGCTAATCTTATTATATGGTTGGAGGCCTACATGCATTGGAATGACAAGCTAACAAATGCATCATTAGATGAAACTTTCAAAATTATTCATCCATTTTATGATTTTATTAACTGCAGTCTGATAGTGGACATGAGTAAAGTCTTTCTGAAAGATGTCGAATTTAGTAATGATGACAAACTACCAGTAAATATTTTTAGCGAATTATTAAATCACCAAAAAAAAGTTGATTATTTTCGCTTTTCATCTTGGATAAAACATCTTGATGACTCATTAAGGACAATATATGAAGGACATTTACCAGATACATCAAATATGCCAATGATTTCAATGAAGCTTCATAATCCATGGCATGCTAGTTACATCAATGGACTCTCTCTACTGATCCACAACTTACTTCCAGTTGGACACCAGCAGTCAATAATGAAATATATGACAATAACTACTGGAGGTATAATTATGTATTGATTGATGTATGAATAGTCATTAAGTAACAATACCATATAGCTGAAAGTTTCGTGGCAAAAACTTTTGTGGTTTGGTGGCCTCAAGCCTATCAGTGGTTTTATTCATATCAATGTCTCTCATTAACCTGCTAAATACTACAACCTTTTTCAATAAATTAACAATAATTTTTGGTTTCAAAGTACAAAAACCACAAAAAATTTTGGTGTATGCCTCACCAGTATAGTGGCCAAGTAAGAAAGGTAGTAGGAGATCTCGTAAGAATCAACAAATGAATTTATTAATAAGTTGAAAGCTTTTTCTTAACATAAAGAATACACATACTTAAATACACACACAACAATTACATCATAACACATCACAGAAATATATACATATATATTTATTAGAATGAATGATAATCAGTGAGGCATAACCTCACATAAGAATGAGAATAAGATCAGAAATAGAGTCAGATAATCATGAAATAATAGTAATAATAATGATACACTTAGCAGTTAGCAAAATATTGGCAATACCCTATATATAGCAAGGCTGTAAAAGTCGTGGTAGCCATTTTTAAGTGGGGTGCATCCTACGTAGTAAAAGCTACCGCTTACTAGATGCACTGGTCAGACGAAACACCTATCAACAACTGCGTAGTGTACAAGGCCATACATAACATATCAATTACAGTATCTGCAATAATGCTGATAATAAAATTATGCCTGCATGTCACTATTTTAAATAATCAATACTGTCTATTGTACTGTAGATACATCTCAAAATTTCTGGCAAATGAAAATTATAGACTTCTATAGTATTTTCTAAATAAATATTCATTTATAGTAATACTGAATGATATGTTATGTATGGCCTTGTACACTACGCAGTTGTTGAAAGGTGTTTCACCTGACCAGTGCATCTACTCTATATATACAACTGTTATAATATTATGCACTGATTATGTTCTTTTTAGGTGATGGTAGTAATGCCAGTAAATTAGAAGAGATGACACAACTGCAAGAGTTGATCGAAGAGAAACAAATTATTACTGGTTAGTGTATCATCATTCATCAGTACATAATATTAGATGAAAGATCTTGTAATGTACAGAAGATTATGAGAAACTTAAAGCTACAGTTACTGATAAAGAAATACATATAATAGAAATGTTGAAAGAGAAGAGAGAAATAGAACAAGAGAAAAAACAGTTAGAGGAACAATATCTCAAGGAGAAACAGATCATTATTGGTTAGTTAATTGTACACACAGCATGTATTAGATGAGAGAAAATGTTTATTGTGTAGACGACAATCAAAATCTGAAAACTGACATTTCTGAGAAAGACAAAGTAATAGCCAAACTGACATCACAAGTAGAGGAAAAATCACAGAATGAGAAACAGATCATTACTGGTTAGTGTATCATCATCAATTAGCAATAATTATTAAATATTCTATTAATTTATAGACCTTAGAGCTAAAGTGTCTGATAATGAATTGTATATAACCAAACTAATGAAGGAGAAGTCACAACTACAGGAGAGAGTCACATCCTTACAGGAACAATCCATCAAAGAGACTAGTTCCATTGGACTACAATTTAATTACCTGATCCCTTCAATGGGTAAGAGTATTATTGTGTACACAATGTACATGTATCATAATTATTTTGTATTGATAGATAAATTGGATTGTCTTAGTTCTGTCCAAGTAGCAGAGAAGAAGCTGTTCTTAATTCAAGGGGACAAACCTCAACTGATGAATTGGGAGAAATATGGTCTAAGGATTGGAGTACAAGAAGGAAGCCTATTGTCCTCTGAGACAGTAGAAGCAGCAGTGGTTGCTCTTGAAGGAGGAGAGTTCCGGTTTCCTCCTAATACTGTCCTAGTGAGTGCTGTGTATGCAGTATCACTCTCAAAGCCTCTCCTCAAACGGCTCAAATTAGAGATACAGCACTGTGTTGATTTAACAGGACAACCAGGTCTTAGTCATTATCTGAAGTTTGCTATAGCTCCCGTGAGCACACCCAGTCTTCCTTACCAGTTTTCAATAGTTGAGGGAGGAGAGTTTAGCTCTAATAGTGGGTATGGATCCATTCAACGTGAAGAGTTCTGTTTAGTGTGCATACTGGGATTGTTAATAGCAGGAGATCAGCAGCAACCTCAAGGACAAGGAGCAGGTGTAGTACCAGCTCAACAGCAACAAGGAGGAGGAGTACTGACAGTACTAGCCCAGGGACAGCAACCAGAAGTTAATGAACAAACCAATGGACAACAAGGAGAGGAGGGACAAGAAGGACAACAAGAGGAAGGAGATGAATCACAAGAAGGACAGCAACAACAACAAGAAGATGAATCACAAGGACAGCAACAACGAGAAGAACAACCGCAACAAGGAGAATCACAAGAAGGATGGCATAGAGAAGAAGGAGGAGATAATCGCAAAGAAGGCAGAGGACAAGAGGAAGAACAACAAGATCCTGTCCATGTACATGTAGAAACAGAAACTGTTAGCAAAGCTGTGCCTTGTACTGAGACTAGTAAGCATGCATATTAAAATAATCAATTTTTATGTACTTTTACTGTTTATAGGCATAGGCTATACTGATGTAAGAAAAAATATGAAATATTTTGGACTAATTTATTATAACGAGAAAGGAGTAGAAGATTTAGTGATATTCACTGCAGCTAAAGAATTGGAGGCACTCACTCAAGTAAGAAAGCATTAGATACTGTATAATGTGTTAATTATTATTTCATTTATTTGATAGTTTGTTGAGCGGAAATACTCTGAAGCTGAGATTGGACCAAATATTTCCTTTCGTTTTAAGTTTCCTTATGAACGTTATATTGAATTAAACTTTAATGCACATCAGGATGAACCAACTACAGGCTGGATAGTTCAACCACACACTAAACCTAGCAGAGTAAGCTTGTATTAATTCATATTTTATAAGGTCATATATGTTACAGCTATATCAAGAGGACATTGATAAATTTGGTGATAAAGAATATTGTTATCCTTCATGTTGCCTTATATCAGTTTATGGATCACCTGATGCTGTCCCTTTTCTTAATTACTCTGTACCACTAGTAGGAGTGGTTAACCCAGTTACATTAATCATTCATAGGGCACGAAGAAATCCTCCTCCTCCTTCAACAAGTAATAGATGATAATTACCATTTAAATTGTTTATTTATTTAATAATAATCAGATCCTACTACCTCCTCCTCTAATGTAGTACCTGGTTCAACATCAGTATCATCCACTGGAGGAGCTAGTAAGTGATAATACTGTGTGTGTATATACTGACCTTTGACCTCTATTAGGTCCATCAGCTACTGTTGATGTCAAAAAAATAAAGAAAGTGATCAATGATGTTCTTCAATCTCATTATGCTGATTTTACTGCACTACCAATGGAAGCTGTCCCTGAGCTTGCAAATAAATTATTTACTCTTCGTTTAATCAATAAAGTTGTCAGAGAAAATCCTTCAATAGACAAAATTATTTCAGAGTTCCAGGCCAGTCTTACTTTCCAGAGGGAGTTGTCTCAAGTGGAGGAACACTGTCAAAAGTTCTTAAACTCATTCGTCGAAGTTAGTGGCAGCTTTGCTTATGCAGCAATTGCTTTACACAAGGACTGGATTGAAGCTATTAGAAATAAACTTGAAAATAGTGATTTTAATATTGTTATCGATGAATGATATTGATTTTTTTAATGTTTAAACTTTATTTCTTTCATACCCACACACATCATGGAATTAAATCATAGATTTATTTATAACAGCCTCAAA